ACTGTGCCCATCTCAGTTTTCTTGACCTTGGGCTCTGGGGTGCAGGAGCAGATGTTCCGGTCAGGTGGTCAGCCGAACGCGGAACCCCCAGTGTTTAGTTCCCAAGCATGCTTGGTACTCATTTATCGACCCACTGAAGGGATGAAAGGCTGAGTTAACCTTGCCAGACCCGAGGATCGAACCAGGGACCTGTGGCACGACAGCGCGAAGCTCTACCGCTCAGCCATCGGGCGTCGCGAGCCGCTACTACTCTGCCATTTAATTGGACATTCAACTGGAGCACGCAATCTAAATTCAAATAAAGAACAGAAAATTATCTCTCCTTTGACCAGTTTTTAAATAAAAAATTATCTGAAACACGGGCATGTCATAGGCAAATGCCATGCGAAAAATTTCATAAGTAAAAGACTCTTCCTTTTATTAGTCGATTTCGAATCCAATTTGGTGTTATAATCTCAAATGGGGGTGCCCTTTCAATACAATTCAATTTTTTAAACAAGTCAAGCGCCTTTTTATTGACCAAAAAGAATAAAAATCTGAATTTAGATTTAAAAATTCTGATTCTATTAAAGAATTTCATAACTTATAAATTAAAACTTTTTTCATCATTAACATATTAATCGATAAAAATTATTTAATTAATCTAAATTCCTCATTATATTATATACACTAACTTCCAATAAGTATTTGAACACCTATGAAAATAAGTATATCTGTGACCCTAATTTACGTCACATTTTTTGTACTTAAAATATCGTGTAGAATAAATTCTGTATTCTACACGATAGCAAGTCGCATGCAAGATACCACGAAATTCAGAGCGCTCTGACTTTGAGAAAGTCGTGTTTGTCTGACATCATGAAAATGGCGAATCTATTGAATTAAACATACCAAAATCGACAATGATTTTTTGTGATTAAGTAGTGAAGATGAGTAATGGTTGTTGGAATGGGCTTCGAACTGGCAGACTCACAAACCTAATAAATAGAGACCAACAAGGGCTGTCCGAATAAATTGGGGAAATCACACCAAACCGGTGGCCCAAATACTCCAGGTGCTCCATCGGAGCATCCGGGATTGTTGTTTTTATAAATATCATCCACAAGAAAACACACTTGTTTGGTTTCCATGGTCATGCTGTCGCCAACGAGCCTTTGATTACAAAATCCAACCACACTGCTCATTTGAGGTGGTGCAAGGCACGCCAAAATAGATCCGCAGATGAGTGAAAACAGGTACTCAAGAATGATGAATCAAGGTTAAATCTTAATCAGTCGGATGGCAATGTCTGAATTTGGTGTATGACTGGTGAATATCTTTTGTCAGATTTCATTGTAACTTCAATAATGTTTCATGAAAGCTAGATTATGGTGTGGGGGTGTTTCTCATGGTATGGAGTAGGCCCTTTTTATCCCAAATTCATGGTAAGCTCAACACTGGTTCCTATTCCACTAATCAAGACAATAATGTGCTTCCTCCGCTGTTGTTTTCGGATTGGATCATTGTTACTTCTAGGATTACAAAGCCACTTGTATTGCGAGGTCCCCCATGGATTGTCCAATGGGGTGAACCGATTTGTCTGGTTCGCGCCGAATCCAAATCTGAATCCTATAGAAACACCTCTGGGACGAGTTTGATCGCCGAATTAAATCAGTAAAAGAACTTGCGTAGCTTTTCCAAGTTAAGTGGAAAGAAATACAACTGCCCATCATCCAAACACTAGTGGGAAACGAGCTCAGTAGAGTTAAGGTGGTTAATTGTTTCGTGTATAAGCTCTGCCAACTATCGAATGTGAATAAATCATGTTTATCTCTTTCATCGCAGGTGTCCAATTACTTATTGGAAGATAGTGTATTTGTCTTTGGGCTGAGGGCCGAGAACTTTTCTCACTTTTTGTGAATGAATTATAATAGTTACTAGTTTTTAACCTATCATTCAAAAGATATGGGAAACGTTACTTCAAATGACATTAGAGTAACAAAACTTTAAATCGTTATAGCAGTTAAACTATAAAAACTAGTTTTTCAAAACCGTGTCTTACCCCACGGTTGCAATTATCTATTATAATTATTTTAAGAGACTTATTTGAGATACTGCCATAACACTTTACCAAATGAAAATCTGACCAACCATTCAAAACTTATAAGATTAAAACGATTTTTTAGCTGTTTGTACATTAATTTTGCTGATATTTTCCAGCAGTTTACATTAAGTAATACCAAAGAACTTATACGCTTCGCGTGTACCCTTATACAATCTTTGGTCATACTATTAAATGCTTATAGTAACTTAAAGTAGCTTTTGTTTAAATAAAAATGTTAAAGGCTTCTGATGTAAATAATTTCAAAAAACTATATGTATATTATTTTAATTTTAATCGTGAGTATTATAACACGATATATTACTTCAAAGAGCCTATAAATATATTTACATATCACATTTATGATTGAATTCATAACAGTTTTTGTTATTATCTTACAGTTTTTGGAAACCATTAAAGAAAATATAAATTTCATCAGGTACAAAAACAATACTTCTTTAGAATTGCGTCATTCACACACACAGATTGATCACCATATAGGTTCAATCTTGATATAGTTCCTAATAATTCGCATTCATAATCGGGAGGAGAAATGCGTACTGTTCCCTCAAATATTGCACCACCCGGTGACGTACGCAGAATCAGTGTATAAATATTATCATATGATGAATGACCTTCATGTTCAGTACCGGGTGACAATATTCTTGCATCGCTGATAAGGGTCAAGTTCAAAGTAGCACAGATACTCGAAACTGGCCGCAACAAATTATTTATGTATTCCACCAGAAACCCAGAAACTTTCTGAACATTTTCGTCATCTGTATCAATCGTCAAAGCAGATTCGCAAGTACACCAATGTTCTTCAATCGATGCATCTTCACAAGATCGATCTTCGGGAACTTCACGAAACAGAGACTGCGCTCTTTTCATGAAGGTTTGGGTTAACCCTTCACTAACGTTATCTGGATTGGAAAAGGACCAATCTTCTTGCAAATGAAGGATATTCAGCAAAGTGGCATGAAGATCGAATGGTGTCACCAGTCTGTGAGCATTAGTTCTTAAAGATTTAGTTTCTTGAGGGTAATTTTTTTGGAAATCCGGCGGTAAAAACATAAATAGCATTGGTAATCTTTCTTCCAGCCTGCCGATAAAGGTTGTTCGAATTTCTCCCCAACGCATGCCATGATCAGCCATAACAACCACTATAGTTTTGTCTAGTGCGCCAGACTCATGCAGAGTTCTAAGAAATTTTTCATACAAGTAATCGACGGCAGATCCAGTATCTAAATAGTCATGAGTCATACTATTTATCCAAGAAAGTGAAAAATAAGCCCTATCTTTGAAGTGAGTGGCAAATTGTTCAGTCCAGTGCAAAACAGCTTCCGTCTCAGATATTCCCCCAACGCATCTGTGGCAGTTGAATTTCTTTTTCCAGCCAAGTGTGTCTTCGTACGATAAAATAAAATGGCGAAAATAATAATCAGTAGGCTGTTTGAAAAAGCCCTTTTTAACGTAATTGAATGTTGATATATGGGGAGTATCTTCAGCAAAGAAGGTCCTGTGACCTTTTTCAGCATAACGTTTCCACAAAAAGTTGCATTTGTCGAGAGGTTCATAGGGGTCAGAACTCCAACAGACTTCTGGCAGTTCTCGTTCATCGTAACCTAAAAGCATGGCGCCAAGATTAGGAAAAGTATTGTCGCCAATTTTATTAAACCCTAACATTTCGATAGCTTTCATATTGTCTACTAAATAACGCACCGTTCTATTCATTTGGCGGTGCATGTTTAGTCTTGAGACTGAATCGATGCCTACAATCAAGACACTGTAAGGTGAAGGATTTTGCATCTCACACCGCTTCTCAACGCTAGGTTTGTCCTGAACGAAACTGTGGAATTCTTTATATATTTGGTAATGATCGGAATTTTCACAAGTCACGGTAATGAATTCATCATCGATCTTGGTCTTTTCTGAAAATTTTCTGCACTTTCCGTATCTGAAATAAAATAAGGAAACACATTTGAAAACTTTGAGTATTAAGCATTAAAACACAAGTTTTGCATGAAATATTGACATGGATGGAAAGTGTTGAATTCAAATAAATTATTTATATTGAATACCTAAAATGTTTAAATGAAACATATATAAAAACTGAATCAAGTATTACATAAAATCTTGAGGTTTTAGATTACAGCATTTGCGTGTTCCATCTTAACACCAGCATCACGTGGATATAAGTTTCCTCTCATTTAGATAAATATTAAAGTTTTTGCGTTCTTTAGGAGCTCTTCACATACGAAAACTAAATTATTTATATTTTGATGATTTAAAAGTTTTACAAAAAGAATTTACTTAAAGAAACATACTTAAAACTTAATTTTGACAGAGAATTGGAATCAAGTGTTAGATAAAATCTTGAAATTTTGGGTAAGTCTCACAGTTCTTTTATTTGTTTCATCTTATCACCAGCAACACGTGGATTTAAATTTTATCATATTTAAATAAATATTTAAGTTTTCGTTTTCTACGCGTGAGCCTCTCACATACGAAAAATCAAAAATTAATTAATCCAGTTCCCGTCCAACTATATCCCTAGTTAAAAATGTATTTTTTTAAATTTGTTATTTTGTGAATGAGAAAGTGGGAAATGGAGAAATAATAGAAAAATTTTGTTAAAAACATATCACGTAACGTACATATTTATAGTACATATTTATCAGTTATTAAAGCCCTACTTATCATTTTTTTAAATTTACTTATCATTTTTAAAATTCTTTCCTTGTTCGTAAGTAGATACGAATTGCATACAATTTCTTCAATAAAACAAAATTTGAAATCTTAATATATGGCTAAAACCGTTTTTCAAATTTGTTAATGTGTAATTCAACACGAATTAGTGAAATTTTACAATATGCGAAAAATCGAACATTTTATTTGCACTGACCTCAAATTTAAAGGCGTGTCTAATCTTAAGAAGGCCACAATCACTCAGATGAGCATGTTTTGAAAAAAAGAAAGAAAAAAATTTCCCACCTTTCCGACTAAGGCGAGTCAAACTAGTATGAATGAAGTTGAATAATTGGCGAGTAATATTTTTTTCCCCTTTAAACGTTCATTGGCCCCCATTGTCATTTTACATTTTAGAATTCTATATCTCAGTTATTTTGCGGAATCGTTTGCAGATTTTTTTTGGCCAATTAGCCAAGTTCAATAGAATGCCAAATAATTCTCTCTAAGTCTAATAATTCTTTTCTAAGTTTAGATAGAAGAAGATATTTTTATTTTCTCAAATCAATTGCCTAGTTAAACGATGTTACAAAAGAGATCATTAGCAGTTTTTGCTGAAAAGAATTCTTTTCGTATTTTTTTTCTTCGAGAAAACGTTTTTTTAGTATTTGCAAACGATCTTTAAGAGCTACAATTTTTCTCCGAAATATTGTTTCTTTCTTGATTTGAGAGCAATTGTATACATTATTTTTTAATAAACTATTCGGAATAATCTTAGATAAGTGTATCTGTTTTATATTCGCAGAAATTTTAGACCGAAACGTAAATAAAGTTTAATGTAGTGAAGATACATTCCAAAGCATTCAAGCGAATAAAACTCATTGTTGCGTTTCTGAAATATTTCAAGATCAGGAAAAGCGAAAGCAGAAAAGGTAAGTAGTTTGATTTGTCATAATCTATAACTTAAATACTGTTTAATATCTAACATTTGAATGAAAGGAAAATATATATTTTTATTTAATAAAACATTTTTCTCCTTATTCAGGTCAAATTGATCTGCATTTCAGAATTTAAAATTTTTTTGTTACTCTTTCTATTGCTAATTGTTGATATCGGAATTTATATACATCATATAAGAATATTATAAAAATTCATATTTCTTAATATATCACGAAATCTTTCAAATCTAACTTATTTAGATAATTTTACTATGTTTAATATTTTCATTAACCAAACGAAGTTTAAAACACTCACCATAATATCGAATTCTATGATTACATGTATCAATAATACTTATGATAGTATCGTAATTAATATTTAAAATTGTCGGTAATGATCGCAATATAGTTTTCGTGGTATAATAATAATAATATAATAATTATCTATAGTTAACGCGATAACTATAAATATTATCGAGATCATAATCAACAATTCATTGTCATGAAAATCGTGATATTATCGTTATAGATCTTTGTATCATGTATTGTTTATCATGTATTGTATCGTTATATTGTAATACCGTTTTCCCGATGTGTTAAAAAATCAATTTATAAAAATGTCGCCGACTTCTAGGGTTAATTATGATTTAAATCGAGAAATAAATTAAAATTATACATGATTTTTATACAGGATTAAGATACAAAACTTCTAATTCGAAGTAGATTTATTCATTTAATTTTTACTAACATGAAAGTGTTTCCTTTTTGTCAATTACTTTTTTTAAATAGTTTTCATGTTCCAATCATTCATATTTTTTTTCTAAAAATTAATGTTTAGAAGTTGGTTTGTTTGGGTTTGGTAAAAAATTAAAATACTAGAGAGTTGAATATCAAGAATAGCACACCAGTTTTATAGCCAGCTGTTCAACAATAACTAAAAAATAAACAAATGGAAAACTTTTGACTATTTTTGCCTTTATTTGAAAACAAAACCAAAATTAACTTTCCAATGGCATGTGAAATTATTTACTTTAAAAAAATATTTGTTTTGCATTGAAAAGCAGTCGAAAGGAAGAAAAGAAAAACGAATTTTTATTTCCAACTTAATTTAGGGGTTTAAATATACTCGAAATAATATATACTCGAATTGTTTAAATATAATCGAAATGATGCATTCGAATCACAACAAACTCATCTCAGGCAAATTCTTGAATTTTTATCGCCTGCTTTTAAAAAGAAAATTGTTAGCATTACCATTAACATTTTAAAAATTGCACGTCTATGTTAAGTTTTAAGTAATCATTTAAACACTATTCATAGAACAAAGAATCGATAAGTTTCTATATATAGAGTGCTCTAGCTCAAAAAGTTCTAAAAATACTACTTAATTACTAAAAAAAAGTATGTTTTGATTCTGAAGTGTCTGGTATGAAGATTTTTCGTTTTGCAAGATATAAAATATTCTATTTCCTCACATTTTTAACATTTAAAAACATTTTAAAAAAAAGTTTTTAAAACATTATTTTAACTTTTTTTTGGTCTGAAATTTTGTTTATTAATTATTAATCCGTCGATTTTATTTATCAAGAGCAAACAATAACCAATGCTTTAATGTTATAATATTTTCTTTATAAATCATGTTTTTAATATAACTTTTTAAAAAACCGTGTAATATTTGAAACAAATAATTTTTCGCATTATGAGTTAAAACATATTATTTAATATATTGTTGATCTTGTAAATAAATTGCTTGAAAAGTCTTATTATTATTTATCTTATGACAAATGTGGATACATTAAAGATATAACGGTGGTTTTATAGTAGCTTTAATAACAATGATAAATTAAAAAATTCTTATGTTGTTTAAATTTTTCATAACAACTTCAGGATTTCAGATTAAGGAAAAGAGAAGGGAATGATTGATTTAAAGTTTTAATGTTGTTTCTGTGGGATAAAAATAAAAAATAAAAACTTTTTTTTAGGATTTTTTTCTGCCTCTGGAATAACATACAAAACTTAAAACGCTTTTACTAATAGAAACAATTCATAACTCTTCTGAATGAAAATTTATATAATTAAATTAATTATAAAACATACCACCTGTTATAAACACTTAAAATAATTATAAATCATACCACTACGCTCAAGAAAATTTCTACTGTTTAATGAGATAATAAAAGCAATGCTTGATTATTTGTCATTACAAACAATCAAATTCTCAATAGTAAATTTTTACATCGATAGCTTAAATCATAGTGCTGTCTGAATTTGCTGCAAACTTAATAAGGAGTGAAAATGCATTATGATTTTTTAAGAGTTGAACCATAATAAGTAAGAGTGTGATTTACTTTAAGAAGTACAATAGCGTAGCTCAATCCAACACCATATTTTAGGTTATAGCTATTTGAATGATATCATGGTTCAACTCATCACAAAACATGTCAGACAAATAACGAAAAACGTTGCATCACTTTAAGCGACAGAGGGGATTTTTGGTAGTAATTAAAATTTATTTCGTTCAAAACTGATTATTTTATTCTTATAGGTACATTTGAAAAATGTAGTTATTTAAATTTTTATTAACTTAATTTTTTTTTTCGTTTTTTAGTTTTATGTTTGCTATCTTTTTTAAGTTTGATGGTATCACGTTATGTTGATATTATCACGATCTGTTGTACATATCCCAATAAACTCTGTTTATATCGATCTGGAAACTGTCGGGCACGGAGTACCAGTAGAGATCTGAATGCTCTAGCCTATAAGAAAGTGGTCAAAATTAATAATGGGGGACTATCTAGAGTCACGAACACGAAAATGATTAAATAAAAACATGGTAATAATACTTAAGCTATTTATCTGCTTTTTAGGGATATTCATGCAACCCTTTCAAAAAACTATTTCTTATTCTCTTATATATATTTAAAAAGTTTATGTAAAAAAAATATATGTAATGTAGTTGAATGGAACGTTTTTATTTCTTTTTTTTTTTTATAACCAAATTTGAACAGCTTTACGAAATCCTGATTTACGGCTTTCATTGTTCAACTCGGCAGCCTTGTAATTTTGAACCCAACCCAGAAGACAAGGAAATTTTTAAATCAAGCATTGGGATAAACTATCCTTCATGTAGAACAATTTGATGGAACTATTCTACATTTGCGCTTTGCGTTTCATGGAGAGGAAAACTACTATAAACTCCCACTATTAGACCGATGGCAAAGGGATTCTAACCTATGATCCGTCTACCACTGAGGATATTTTACGTCAGCACTGTGGTTGATGCGAGCAGGAAGAAGAATTCGTATCAACCAGCCATCTTTTGGATTCTAACCTGGGGCACTTTATTTGAAGGCTAGTGCTCTATCCTCTAAGCCACAGCGGCTCTGAACGGAACAATTAGTATTTCTTTCAGTTATCAAAAGTTTGAATTAATGTAATTTTTTTAATACTATTTTTCATTTCTATGTTGTGACTTGATTAAGAGGACGCTGCACCACAGGAGAAACTCTTCATTGCAAATTCTCTTTCACTCCCATAAGTAGTTTATTAAAATTTATAGTATAAAAAAAGTCAGTTCAATCACTGTAAAGAATGTTTCAAAATATCAAAATAAAACAAATTATGAGAGTATAACTTAGGTTTATGCAATTGCAATGGGGAAATTCTTTTCCAGTAATTTGTTTGCATTTTCATATTTTGAAATTTCTTTTGAAGCAATTTAAACCTCGTGACTTACTCCAGGTTTGCCTGAACTTAATTTTTTTCATTATTAAAATGTTCAATTAGTTCTAGGGGTGAAATAGAATTAGCGAGGAAACATTCCTCCCACGGCATGGCTTCCTCTTAAGAGTTTATAAGAATGTTGATTTTTTTCCTCCATTTATATGCATTCCATTCTTATTTTACTCCCGTAGTTTTTTTTACTAGTCACGGTGGCTCAGGGGATAGAGCGTTCATTACACAATGTGGTGACCCAAGTTCGAATCCCAGTGGTTTCTGGTTGATACGAATTCTACTACCGGCTTACACAGACCACAGTGATAGACGGATTATGGAATTGAATCCCCTAGCCGTCGGGCTAACTGTGGGAGGTTTTCGTAATTTTCCTCTCGATGTAACGTAAATGTGGGTTAGCTCCCTCCAAAGTACTCCACGTAGGCTAGTTTGTCCCAATACTTGATCCAGAAGTTCCTAGTTTTCTTGGTTGGGCTCAAAATTACAAGACTACGAAAATGAACACAAATTTAAACTCAAAATTGAGTTGACTGTTCAACGCCGGTTATAATAAAAATTATGAAGATACTGAGTTATTTGTTATTCTTATAGCAAACTCATTTTTCAATCGACACTTAATGCAAGAACTTCAAATGAAATGCGTAAAATACTTGCTTTATTTTGTCATCCGATGCGCCATCTTTACCTCTTTTAATGTATCTGTAGCAACAAGTAAAATTTTGAAATCCTCTTCTCTCTGCGGCCTCCATATCCAATATTAGGAAACTTCCTTCAGTTTTTGTAATGGGTTCACCCTTCTGCAACGAAAGGTAACATATTTTATTGTTCTAAAATCGGTGTTAACAAGATTTTTATTTTTATTTTATTGCACCTCGTTTTGAAATGCGTGAATATCCGTTTTTTATACGAGATAGAAAAAAATCACTCATTTATAAATCGGTATTAACCAACAATGATGCATAAAGCTAAAAGTAATATACCGATACAAATAAATCACTTAAAAGGATTCTAATTTGTAAAAAAAATTTTTTTTTTAATTTGCTTCACCTCTCTGTGATTTTACTTCACAGAGGAAACAAAATTCGTTTTTAAAACTTCGATTCATAAAATTAAAATTCATATATACTCAGTAATGTTACTATCTACAACTATCTCTTTATTATTACTAAATTTATTGCAATCAAGCAACTTTCTGAATGAATTTTTTACAATGAGAAAATAAATTACGGTCAAAACTACCAGAATATGGTTTAATTTATTGCATTTCTGACTCTATAACAATACCAAAAAGCTGGGTAATTTTTACGGAAGCGCTTTGATGATGATTTTGGCAAAATTAGCATTAAAATATGGTTTTATGATATGTGATAAAGTTAGGTAAATGTGATAAAATTTGGCAAGATGTTGATGGTTTTATCTATTAGATTAATTGATTTAATAGCTTTAATTGCATTTAAACATGCCTCCAAAATTAATCACGTGCAGCTTCAAATGACGTCTCTCTGCTCCCGGTTAACCTTCCGTCCGTGGAACGTCGTACAAACCCTTAATACACCGCAGTAAACAAAAAGGAAATAGTTTAATGTTAATTATGCGCCCCTATGCCATTTAATCCACGGACCGGGCCAAGGGGTTGATGGCCACAGCCTGGGATCATGGCACAGAAACCATTTATTCGGTTACATTTATTTTTCAGTTTCATATTTTTTACTAAATAAGAGCCATAATTTTGAAAATCAGAATTTTCAGCAATTCCTTACCATATAAACGGAAAAATTAGCCAATGAATGTTTTAAATACCGTATATTTTGGTTTTATTAACCAGAATTATGTTGTTTTTTTTCTTCTAAGAAATGTCATTACCATACGTTTCAGTAATTTTATCGGATTTTTTTCGCGCACTAAATAATTAAATTTTTCTTGAAATCAATTATAATTTTTTGTTATTAGATTGATACAAACACATTACTAAAGTGTTACTATAGTGTCAAATAAAACGTATTTTTAGGCATTTATCAAATTACTATTTCGATTAAGTCCTTCCATATTTATTTTGTTTGAGCTAACTTGACATAACGTATCAAAAATAAATAAATTAATAAAATAATAATTTCTATTAAAGAATGCGCATTAAACTCGGTAGTAATTCACTTATGATTTGGTTTACAATCTGTGAAATATACTAAAAATAGTTAAACATGTAGCAATCTATTTAAGTAGAGAAAAATGTTGCAGAAAATGTCTCAATAAAAACAAAATTAACAAAGATATATATCTGAAATTTAAGCTTGCCGAAGCTTAGAGGGCAACGTTTGGTTTAAAATATTAGAGATCTTCTATATTTATTGACCTAATTGCTTATTTTGATTCCTCTCAATAAAATGATCCCATTTTTTTTATTGAAGACAAACTTTATGGCCATTTTACCCTCTAGAAAATAGAAAAGATTAAAAAAATTTTATTTATTTATCATTGAGTGATGTATAAATAAGTTACTCTTAAAAAGCACCGAAAAATAATCCTCAAATTTCGAAATTCAAAACAAATACGGAATTTTTAGACAAAAATTTTAAGATCCTCTTTATATTCTGACTTAGTAGTATGTAGTTGTAAAAAATCCACCTTTAATTGCTACTAATGTTTCCTTGGGGGGAAAAAAGAGAGAAATTGTAATTAAGAGAATAAAATAAAAGTTATAAATATAATTAATATATAAATTCTAAATCTTGTTTAAGTTTTTTTTTTCAAAAAAAGTATCGTAGTTAAAAGTATATGAATATTGCTTATCTTAAAGCATAAAAGCACGCAACTATAAAAAAACATACTACAAGAAATAATTTTCGCCAAATTAAATACAAGGAAAAAAAGCGAAGAAACTACTGTTTGCATAAATACAATTTTCATATCATAGTGTTCCTTATGCTGCGCATCTAAATAATTTTCGAAAATTCGCTATTTTTTTTTCATTCTATAGTGTTTACGTTAAGAGAATGAAAAACCTATCATGGCGAAAATTTTCTGAAAGAGTAGCGGTGGTGGCAACAATTTGCTTATTTCACCTTCATTAAAATGTCCTTGCGAAGGTCAAAATTAGCAATCATTATGTAGTATTTCATACCTAAATACTTGCTATCAGACCAAAACAATTTTTTTTGATACATATATAAACAAACGAGCACTTATGTGAACAGATTAAGAGCAAGAAAGGTTAAAATTGCATGCATATTAAAAAAACAAATAAATAAATAAAAATCCTGATACTCTTTATTTTAATTTCTAAACAAAATTGCGATATTATCTTCCCACATCGGTTTGAATGTTTTGAGGAAGAAATAAACAGATAAGAGAAATACTTTGAAAGATTTGAAGAATGCAGATCAAAGTTTGATACTAACGGTCATTTTACAAGCTAAGATTTCGGCTACTTAATGTTTTCGGTACAAAATATTTTCTTCTTTATTTGCATAACTACTTTACATTCTGTTTTATTTTTGGTTACATTAATTGCAAAATTAAACTATTTAACAAATATTATTTCTCATAATTTCTGTTTTAAAATTAGATGCTGTGAATAAATATATAGTTGGTTTTTTTAAAAAAAATGATATGAAATAATGCTATGTTACTGTCCCAAAATTAAATTAATTTTCTAGTAATTATTATAATTACATAATCAATAGTATTTAGAATAGTTATGTATTTTATTTTTCCCTTAACTTGTTCCAGAGGTAAGCTGAGAAAAAAAAGTATGGTATTTGGTATCTGAGAAAAAAAAAGTATGGTTTCATAACTACCACCATTCTGGTAGTTTTAATAGTCCTTTTTTTCTTGGTGTAGGTCTGTGTTTCCCAAACCTATGACTTTTGCGTACCCTTTCTAAATTTTTCGTAACGCTGTGTACCACTAATAATAAAAAAAGAATGTATTTTTTGCTATAAAAAATTTCACAAAATTTTAAAATCGCAACTGGCCGTTGACACCACTCATTATTAACTGTTAACTCTGCAAAAAAATAGCCAATAGAAAAATACGTAATCGTAAATTTTCATGGCTAGCTTTGTTTTTAAAAAATAAAATTTAGAAATTTTCGTTTGTTGCAAGATATATCGCATAAAAACGCGCACCCCCGCTGAACTGCTCCCGTACCCCTGGGGGTACGCGTACCACACTTTGGGAAACACTGGAGGTTTTATAATAATGGTATTTGCATTCAAATGAATAAGTAATTGGACCTATTCCATTTCAACACGCAGTAAACAATTCTTAATAAATTTCAAAAATAAATTAAGTATTCAAGAAGCGAAGTTATGAAACTAAATACTGCAAACAAAATTTTTATTTTGAATTTATGTGAAAAATAAGAAAACGAAATACTTTTTTAGTTAAGTAAAAAGAAATAAACTGTTTTTAGTAACATACATATGTAAACAGCTGAGGGTGTTTTTTTTAATCATAGAATTTTGATTTACGGATTGAAGCAAGACCTTGAAAACGTATACGTTCCTTGATAGCTTTACAGTCGGGCGGTCACATAAATCTCATAAATATATCACAAAAGCATTACAATCGCAGCAGATAAACACGAATGACTCAATGGTTTCAAAATTCTTTTCTTTCCTTGATAGAAAGATTTTCTTCACAAGAATTCTGTATCCGCTTTGGATAAAAGGATATCAAACTAAAGGATGTAAATTATGTAATTATTGAATTTTGCTTGATTTAATTAGGATAAATTATGAAAGCTGATTTAAGTAGGAGAAACTATGTAAGCGATTATTATTGGGTGAAAATATGTACAGTGTTCAAAATAAAAAAAACGACCACCCTGAATAATTTTTGATTAAATGATTGGATCTTAACGTTCTAGGACTCAATTTTAATAGTTCAAAAGGGTGTCCTCATATTTGCAAATTATTAAAGGCAGATGATACTTTAAGGTGCAAAATCAGAAATTCATCAAAAAATTCGTAGTTTTAAAATTTCATTTTTTAGTATCGATTTGACTGATTTCGCTCAAATATTTATTTCGCCATCTAAAATTGCATTCTTTAAAATAAGGCAAAAAAATTGTATACCTTACAATTCAAACTTTTTCAGACTAAAGTAAAAAATTATAAAAAATTGCGAATATTTTTCTTTTTGAAGTTATTTTTGCATGAGATTATCTTTGGATAAAGGAATTTAATAATTGCTTGAATTTGTTTAAAAAATTTTTCGAGATATGGTGAAATGCACATGAAGTAAAATTAACATTATGGGGTACAAACTTTGGTCTGATATCCTGACCAAACTATTGGGTCCATATTTGCTGCTACCCACTATATGTTGAGGGTCAGAAATCCAAATCCATCGAAAAAAAGGTATGTCTATTCAGAGAAAGTGCGTTTTTGTGTTTGATTTCGTAACTTAAAATATCATCAGCTCTAAATAATTAGCGTATTTGAGGAATTCTAAATAATTAGCATTGTATAGCTCTCTCGAACCATTAAGATTTTGAACTTGACGATCCTATTATTAGATCAAAAGTTATTCAGGGTAGTCTGTTTTTTATTTTGTGCACTGTACAAATTATGTATGTTATGTATGTATTATGTAAAGTCTTTGGCTGTTTCGAAGCTACAAAATTGTGAAAAACTTAATATTTATTTCTAATTAATTATTAAATGTAGTATTTTCAGTTAGAACATTATCGCAAAACTATCATTTTTTAAAAAAAATTATCATACGAATCTCTATTTAATCACCTATGTTTAGTCACATAATTTTGCTTCATTTATTAAGTTTATCATATATTTTG